GGAGAGGAGAAGGCTGCAGGGAGAGCTGAGAGCAGCCTTCAGTATCTACAAGGGGTCTATAAGAAAGAAGGGGACAGACTCTTTAGCAAGCTTTGTTGTGATGAGACAAGAGAAAATGGTTTCAAACTAAAAGAGGGGAGATTTAGATTGGATATCAGGAAGAAGCTGTTTACAATGGGGTGGTGAGGCACTGCACAGGGTGCCCAGAGAGGTGCTCCATGCCTGCAGCACCCACCGTCAGGGGATGGGGCTGTGAGCACTGATGGAGCTGTGGGTGTCCCTGTGCACTGCAGGGGGTTGGATTGGATGGCTTTTAAGGATCCCTTCCAACTCAAACCATTTTGTGATTCTGTTTGAATCTGAGTAGGATGGGATGAGAAGGCTCACATGCACTGTTTTGTTACGGACGCAGTATGAGTGAAAAATATAGTATTGATTATTTGAAAACTACAGATTCAGATCAAGTCTGCTGGATACATTCAAGTGGAAAATGCTTTTGGATCCAGATGAAGGAAGTTATTGAGAATGGTGGTAGGAATCCCTGCTGTAGCAGAGTGCTAAGAACTTTTTAGGAAGGAAGACGGCTGAGGTTAAGTTCCTTCCGAACTGAAATAACAGAGGATGTATATTATTATGGTCTATAAAATGAATCTAATTTGAGTAGCCAAGCAACACAGGCTTGCTGCAGAAATCTCAAACAAAAGCCAAACCCTCCACATTAGAGAAAAAATGTTCAAAGCGTATCTTCAAAATACTCCAGTCTATCAAATGTGATGGATTTCTAAAGATTTTACAGTTTCGGATTTAAATACAGACTATTTAGTTTATACCCAAAACAAAAAAAATAGAAGCTGAAAATCATCAGGAGCTTGCAGAATGGAGTCCTGATTCTGGAAGAGGAAAGGAAAACACAGGGAATTTTGTATCGATCCAAACCTTTTTCATGAGTTGGCCTAAAGAACCGAGAGACTGAAGATGAGGATGACCATAAACCATTAATTCAGCTTGGGCCAGTATTTCCATTTTGCTGACTACAGCAGACTTTTATGCACATGCATTGCAGCTTGATCTGGAAAAAATCTACTGATGGCTTTATGAATTAGATTTAAAATGATATTATAAAATAGTTAATGCTAAGTTAGCAGTATAAAGCTTGATTTAGAAAGTGCAAGCTTTTGATATCCGAGTATACATTAAATCTTTTCATGCTGATGGGGAGTTACATCATTATATGTAACGAATTTTAAGTAGCAAATTGACTTTCCAGTGTAACGTATTGGCTACAATTAAATGCAGTCTTGAAATCTTTAAGAAACCGCTTACACTTGTTAGTATAGCAGTAACACGAAGTCTAAACTAATAAAATTTGTTTAAATCACACTATAAACTGATGTATTATTTAAAGTTAATTCATATGACAGATTGTTTTTGTATTCAAGTGCCTGCACTCCTCTTTTTTTTTTAATTAAACTTTCCTGTTACCCTTTACTGGATCCAGAAGCTACTGCAGAGTGCTGTAAGCTCCAGCAGGCTGCTTTCTCTAAACAGGAACTTGAAAAAACAGAGCACTTTTGGCAGGGTGCAGAACTGGCTCTGTCTCCTGTGGGCATTCTGAAGCGAATGTGAACCAAATTACCTTTCTGCCCATTTCTCAGCAGACGTTGAAAGGAGGCTCTTCCCGGAATCCCTCGCTGCTGCCCGCGCTGTTGGTCTGCAGCATGACAAGTGTCTGCTGCTGGAGCGGGGCTGCGTTCAGCGTGCTGTGTGCTGAGGGGGTGCCTGAGTTCCGAGCTGCAGAGGAGAAAGAGACCCAAAGTTCATTTGCAAATTCTAGGGATTTGATTTTCTTATAGAGGCACGTGATTTTTCTTTTCTACGCTGAATTGTATGTTATAGAAATATTTTTGCTCAGCAAAACTTAACGAATCACCTTGATTCTTTTTACATTTGGGGGTGCAGGAAGGCAAACCTGGCAATCTTGCATGTGTAATTGCTTTTGTGTAGCTAGTTGAGTATCTTGCAGGGGTTGAAGGATAAACTAGATGCCTTCTGAGGGTGTTTCCCAGATCTTTTTCCTGTGGTTTTTGAGATACCTACTAAGCCTACCCTTCTGTTTGAAGTAATACATACAGCTTAGGAATGATCACAAAACTGGTAGCTAATGGGTCACCAGGCAGTGTGCCGGCACTGCAGCTTATCCATCAGGCTACATCTACTAGCACTTCACTGTCTTTAATGTTACAATTTGTCTGTCCTCAGAAATCTGGCTGCCATCTGAATCCATTTCTTCTAGTTGTGTTCACAATGGATGTGGAAAGCAAGCTTTTTAACCCCCCCTTCTGTTGTTCAAGTAACCTTTTCCTGTTTGCAAGCAGCAATCGTGTCTCTTGTCAGTCTTGGCTAGGCTGAGCTGAAGAAGCCCTGGATCTAGTTCTTCCTCGTGGGCTGTGTATAGACTTCAGTACAGCTCTCTTGGTTCAGATTGTTTGGCACAGGCCTTCATTTTCTGAGAGCTGCTTCCTCCCCACAGACAACTGGACAAATAGATGTGCAGTGACAGGATGTGAAGCTGAAATGTACCGATGTTGGCAGATAAAGATGTAAGCACAGGTATGTTCGAGATGCATTTGAAATGAGGTGCTGTTTGCTACTTTAAATCTTCCTTTAACTCTTCCAGCTGTGAGTGCAGACAAGTTTTGTACGCACACCAGGTGAATTTGGGAGCAGTAACAATGCATGTGAAATATGACAGGAACAGGAAAAGAGGGATCTTCCTGGTCCTTCTGTAGTTTCTGGGAACTGCATAAAGCTATCAGAGCCTCAGAGGTGACAGCTCCTCTCCACTAATCCTGCAGGCCCCTGGGAATGCCTCTTTAATGACGACTCCATCAGCTTTGAAATAGAGCAGCTCGCTATCAGATGTAGGGAGGAATAGTTGCTAAGTGCCTGTTTGCACACGGGTTGCCACAGCTGCTCAGGAATTTAAAAATCCAAAGGAATTGAGTAACACTTTGCAGGTGCAAGTGGTCACATTCCTCAGGTGAATCTTAACAGCTCTTGGAGACATGGATGACAGCCCTTTGTATCTAGGGGAGCTGGAAGTTCCAGTCTGAGCTTTTTAGTTAACTTGTGCAGCTTGTCCTTCTAGGACACTGTTATCAGAGAATGTAATATCAGTGCAATTACAATTAATCAGACCAGTATGTGCCAGGCTTTCCATATGAGTGAGATGGGATCCTTCCCCCAAAGAGTTCAGCAGTCTGCACAGACAAAGCAGCAAGCTAGGAAGCAAGTAAAGATGCTGTGTGCCAGTCCTGCTGCCACCAGTTACATGCTGTCATCATTTACAGATCAGAAGTAGCTGCTTCTGAAATGATGTATGATCTATGAAGTTTCAAGGAGTCTCAGTTTCTTTGTTTGCTTCTCAGGCTGTAGGTGTTCAGTAGGTCTGCAGCCATTAGGTATGTATGGGGGGTGTCTGGGCTCTCTCTCCATCCTACTGCGATGTTGGATACTGAAAGGCATTGCTGTCTGAAGTTCTGCGGCTGTTTAGAGCTGAGGTGCAGTAACAAAGGTGAGCTTCACTTCACTGTTGGTTTTGGTTTACTGGAGAGCTGCGTGCAGGAGCTTTCACTCAGCAGTGTGTGCGTACCAAGCGGTGTTTGTTTCAGTACCTGATGTCAGGAGCTTGACTCTGTCTTTCAACACCAGTGAAGCATATGTTAGGTGTAAGCGCCTTGGAAATACAATGAGGTGTTAGGATTGTATTGAAGAATTTGGAATGCCTCCAAACTGCACCCATGCTGGAACAAAGACCTGCTGCAGCCTCTTCAGGCATCAAGTGGTGCCTTTTCCCCAGCTTACACCAGTCCGCACACATACTGAAGTGCCTGTCTGTGCCAGGGTAAATCTGTGTATCCTAGGGCTGGAAGATAGGCTGAGCACTGCATCTGTCTGTAGATATGCTATTGGACAGAATGAACTGTAGTAAACAAGGTGTCTAGCTATGCAACCAAACCTTTCTGCTTAAAGTTCTTAATCACTTGAATATCACAAAGCTGTGATGCATTTTTCTGGGGACAAAGCTGTAAAATCTGTGGTGTTTTGCAGCTCACTTTGCATGTTGAGTCATTGTTGAAGCTTTTCACGTGTTCCCTTCTCTTGCCAGCTGTAATGTTCAGGCTTATATCTCTGGCAAAAATCACTGTGCAATTCCACAGCACGGGAAGGAAAGCAGCCCCTGTTGTGCAGTAGAGATACTGTGTCAGCATTTGCAAGAGAGAAATACAGATACTTGACCTCAGATTGTTTAAAAATAAATTTGCTTTGGTGCACGTTGGTGTTTAGAGATGGTATCAGTAAAATTACACAGAAAAGGTCCCCTCCACCTGCTCATCAACATTCTTGAAGTGCAGTCGTTCTGGCAGGAATTCAGATCTAGAATGAATGAATACATTAGCACCTTCTCCAGAGCCCTATTATCGGGGCTGTTGCGCTCTCAAATAGGTCATACAGACAAAAGCAAGAAGTAAGAAGAGAATTCTGCACAGGATAAGGAAAGTTACTGACTGCTGCTGGGGCTCGCTGCTGAAGTAAAATCATTTTGATAAGATGTTTCCTGTTTAAAATAGACATTTGGACTGTGTGTCCTTCGGCTTTAAGGAAGTCTCAGACAAAATCCCTTCCCAGGTGCTGAGCTGTCTGGGTGGTTTTTATTACTTTGAAGTTAGGCTTTATCTACTGGCTTCATTCACAGACTAGCTGGCTGCTTATCACATCTGTGCATCAAAACTTCAAAGGTTTGTCTGTAAGGTTGGGATTTATGAGGTCACGTGGAATCCCCCTTGGAGGGAGTTCAGCCCGCGGTAGCAGTTCTGTGGGGAAAAGCCTTTGTCTGTAGGTGATACTGCGGCAAGGAGGGGCCCTGCGATGCACCCGAGGTATGTGTGTGTTGTGGGGTGGTGCTGATAGCAGGGAGTGCTGGGCTGTGAGCACTGCTCCATTTACAGCACGCAACGTATGGAGAATGTGGGAGACCAGAGCGCATTCCTAGACACAGACTCACCGTGTTGCTGCTTCCAGTAGAGCTGTGTGAAATGTCAGAAGGAATTGGATCCCTGCTGGAGCTGACAGCCTCACTGGGCTCTGCAGCACTTCGCTGTGCTTTTATAGCCGGGCTTAGAAACTGCACAGAATGAGGGAAAAGGGAGAAAATATACATGTATTTATTATTATTTTCATGAAGATGGCTGTTTAAGAAGGGGGGAAAAATGCTGCCTGGCTTTCTGCTTACTTCAATAGCAAGCAGCAGCTGTCAAATCTGTAGCCAAGGCTCAGCCCCAAGCATCCATCGGACAATATGCCAACAGAGACGAGCATCTCCAGTAAAAGCACATCTGAGCACATCTGAGCAGTGTTGCCTTTGGAACATAGCATGATTTTCAGGCTGCGTTCAGGCATGCCAGGCTTTGCTGACTGTACAGAAATGGGAGGGCTCAGTGCAGCAGCATACATTTGTTGCATCTCAGTTTCATGCTAACCGTTTTAGCTGATTTGGCCACTAGAGATCACGCTTGGCTTCAGAGCAAGCAAAGTGATGTAACTACATGTGCTGCAAGTAGGAGAGAGTACTGCCTGTGCTGATTTATACCTCTCAGCTTCCTTCCAGGACATGCAGATTAGGTTAAGTGATTGAATGATCTCTGTGTTGAAAGCATTGGAAGAAAAGTTGATTTTCCTTGGATGAAGCACCCTGGGAAGTTACTTTCTGCAAGAGGATGACCAAACAGACTGTGAAGGCAGTACATCCCTGCTCACTGTACGGGATTTAGGGAAGCATGCAGTAAACATTAATCTGAAGGGGACATGGCTAGCTGTCTTCCTTAGTCTCAGCCTTCCTCGATTTGTCCATCAGAAAGTAGCACTGCTGCAAAGAGTGACTTCAGGTTAATGACTCGGGAAAAGCGACCCTCGTTCAGCACTTCCTAATGCAGCCCCCTTTGGATCAAAGCTCCACCCATGCCTTGCAGAGAAGTAGAGCTTATTCAGCCTCTGCAGCCACACGCTGTCCTCCTGCAATGGCTCCTCCTCCCCTCCCACCCTTGGGTGGATCCAGAGAAGGCAAAAACTTGACAATAGTTAGCAAGCAGCAGAGCTCGGAAGAACTACTGCAGAAGCATGTCTAACTAGGCTGGGTAGCAGTCATTCTATCTTCCCCAGGGGTGCCGGTGCCGCTGAGTGCAGGAGAGGATGGTTTCAGCCTTGGGAGCCAGGAAAAATCTGAGAAGAAATGAGCAGACGAGAGACCTGGCATTCCTTGGGCAGCTTGAAAGAGAGGTGAGGTGTCTGAATCAGCGCAAGATTAAATGAGCACTGGCTGCTGCCATGTTGGCAGAACAGAGCCGTTCAGAGGCAGTTGGACAAGTTTGTGGCTGAGCCGGTTCATCCACTGTTGAAGATGGGAAGTTACTTGTCAGCCCCTGCTTACTTCGCTCCCAAGGATCCCTTTCGGTAAGTCTTGCATGGGATTAGCAGTTGATCTTCAAGCTGTCATTTCACCCCTGTAATGCTATCCTAAGCAGTTAGCATGTGAGGTGCAAAGAGTGCGATCCGGGCTTGTGTGCAGGGAACAGCTGGCCTCAGCCCAGGGTGCTTTGAGGAAAGGTGCTGCTTACCAGCCTCCCTCCTTGCTCTGTGAGGAAAAGCACCAGTGTTGCAGAGCAGTGTCTGTGTAGCCCAGGCAGGCAGACTGCGTTACAGAGTGGCACACTGCTTTACCCCGTGCCCCTGTGCTTTGCTCCACTGCCAGAGGAATGAGATTACTGTGGCTGCTGCTACTTGCATCTCTTCCAGTGCTGCTTTATTGGGGCACAGTATGGGCTGAGGGAGTGCCACATGCTGCTGTGGAGTTCAAGGAGATGATGTAATCTGCAGTGAGGCAATCCATAATCTTGTTTGAGAAAGAAATAAAGTACCTTGCAGGTAACTAGGGACTTGCCACTTCACTTAAGTGGAAATGATTCTTGTCCCGTGATATTTTGGTTTGTATTAACAACCATTTTTGGCTCGGTCAAACAAGTGAGGCTTGAGAAAGGCTACAGAATAAGGCTTTGATTGCATTACATCTCCATGGTGAAAGCTGTTAGCCAGGCTGAGTGCAGCCAGGATGGTGACTGACGCTAATGTGCTGATAAGGTGAATAAATGGGGGCTGGCAGTTCCATTGTCTCTCCCCTGTCCCCTCTGCGTGGATTTGCACATTATTGATTCTGTTCCTACAAACACTGGTGTACTGATTGGGAGGTGGGTAGCCTTTTGTTAGCACAGAGTAGGGTAGGAGTAAATACTGCTGTGCAATGGCTAAACTTCAGCAGCAACTTTCTGTGAAAGCATCCTCTTTCTGAAGGCAGGTGAGCAGCCATTCATTATTTGTACTACAGAGAGAGCATCATGCTAAGCCATAGTTACACCCACCAAGTGGCATGAAAATCACTTTGCATAGTCAGAGCTTAAACGTTATGTACTTAGTCTGTGTTCTGTTGCATCTGTGCTTCTTTGGCCAGCATCTCTTAGAGCCAGAGCACAACTTGTGCTGGGCCCAGCTGAGAAGCCTTTGGGATAGCTGCAGGCTGGAGTTATGCAGCCTGTCCGCAGCCTGTCCTCTTCCCCTCTGCGTGCAGAATTGGAACCGCAGTCCTTTGGAGCCTAGCGGTAACTGATCCAGCCTGACAGTGTGTGGGGGGTAGATTTTATTAATGAGCCCTTCTCAAAGGGATCATCTCTTCAGTGCCAGGGAAGTCTTTGCTTCCATGAGGGTATTGGCTTTCATTTAGATGTAAAAGAGATGTCCCATGGATTGAATCTCCATCTCGCTGAAAACCAGGCTGGGTACGTGGTGCCACTTGATCTTCCCACTGCCCCCCACAAACCCAAGCAGCCATCGAGCACCGATTTGTGAACTCTTGCTGCAGCATTACATTCTCAGGGCCTCACTCTAGGTGCTGGTGGGGCTCCTGGAGGATGACTACAGGAGGCAGATTAAATTATTCTTAATTACTAAGGATGCAAAGTGGAGATTCACTGTATAATAAGAGCTCTGCAGATCTGAAAGTGGTGGCTAGTGTGCAAGAAGAGCCACATCAAGCACGGCTGCTAGCAGTCCTCCAAGAAATGTGGTTACCATGCTTGGCTACTGTGCCTGGCTACTATGCCATAAGAATGGCCAATCATGGATTAGCTGCTTGTAATCTAAAAGAGAAGCAAGAAGTCTTTTCTTTTGGTTGCAGTGACTGGCAAAGATGAGCTTGTTCACTTTCTCTAGAGGTAACTGAATTCCTTTTTCAGCTGATGTGAGGACAAGCAATGGCAGTGCTGTAATGCTGCGCACAACAGTGAAGTGGGAAAGGAAGGAGACAATGCTTCTACCTTCTGTGATAAAGATCTGACGTATCTCTTGAGTGAAAGTCATGTGGAACATTCATGTGATGCCTTTATCATCTGGGTAAAGGCTCTGAAACCGTTCTTAGAACTATACCTGTGTGCTGTCAGCCCTCAACACCTGACAAATCTAACGCCTTTCTAAGTGATAGTGAGGGATGAAACAGCCAGTTAGAGCCATTACCAGCACCTAGCTTCTCTGGGGCTGGTTGCTTTGTTCCTGTTGCCTCATTGCCCAGGGTGGGGTGCTGAGCCTTAAGCTGCAAACTTGTCCTGCCCAGATTTGTTTAATTGCATAGCATAGAACTGACTGCTTGCTGGCTCCACCCCCTCACCTTCATTTTGCTATGGGTTTGTTGCAAATTAAATACCAGTGCTTGTTTCCATATGGAAGCAAAAAGGTTAGAATCAGTAAGGAAGCAGGGGGAAGGCAAAGGGAGGACAAGAGTATGTGATCTTTTGGAGCCTGTCTGAAGCAACTGCAGTTGTGTTGTTTTTGTAGAAACTTCAAGTTTCTTAAGTAGAAAAAGATGTGGTTGAAGTTGTAGAAGGGGTAAAGAAGTTTAAGGAGGTATTGTGCTTAAAAGCAAATAAAATAGCCCACCTGCTTGGGGAGAACTTGGACAGAAAAGTGGCTCTTGAAGTCCTGGTAGAGCAGTCCCCAGTCTGCAGTGTTGCTGTCTGCATCCCAGGTGCAGGTCTGGTCACAGCTCCCTGTTTGAAGATGTAATCATGCTCAGAGCATGCACTGGTACAGGCATGCACGCAGAAGTCAGGTAAGTCTGAGGGATCCAATTCACCCATGCTGAGCCAGATGTTCCTGCCACAGGGTGATAGAAATCTTTGCTGTTGGTCTCCACTTGTTCTTTCTCCCTCCCACTCACCTACTTGATCATTCAGCTTGGGGTATTTACTGCAAGCAAAGCCAAGGACTAGTGGTTGAAGGCAAAATGCATGGCAGGGCCCTCTAGGTCTCTTGCATACCACAAGCAGGGCGTAACCCTGACAGTGCCCCAAGGCTTGGGCTATAATAATTCAAATACCCTTCGTAGTAAGGTGAAGTTACTGCTCCCCCTGCTCAAAAGTTAACAGGAGTTGTTGCACGTGGTGGAGCCCTTTCCCATCACAGAGGGAGGGGAAACAGTATTTGGAGCTGCTCAGCTGGGAGAACAAACAGTATAAAGCGAAGGAGCAGCTTTCCTGAGGGCAGGGTATGGCATTAAATACTGAGGTGTGTTTTCCCCTAAAACTGTAGGCTACTTACAGGCAGCTTCATCTTGTTGCTTGGCAGTCTCTTGAGACAGAGTAAAGAACTCTGGTTGGAGTTGGTTCCATGTTGGATCACAACCAGCGTCTCATATCATTATGCTCGTTACATGTTGGTGGAGTTTACAAGGAATGTCTTTGGCACAAATAAGCTTTTAGAAAGCTTGTGAAAGGTGAGGCCAGCAGCAGCTCTCTTCTTAGACTGGAAGCATGTGAAATGTGTACCTCCACTGCTACACACTGCCTTTAATGCACTTGGAGCTGTAGAGAGCCCTGCTGTGCAGGAGGGCACGCTCACACCTCCCTTGGGGTTCCCCTCCAGTACAGTAACTGAGCAGGAGAAGAAACTCCTCCTCCAGCCTTTGGGAAAACATTGTGCTGATAAACACATCGAGGTGTTGCCTAAAACCAAGCAATGGTCACTAACCTGCCTTGGGTCCTGCGCTCAGAAACGGCCAGTGCCAGACTGTTTTCCTTTTAAAGTCAGAGAACGTGCTGCCCAGGGCTCATGGAATAATCCTCAGTGGTGCAACTGCTGAGGGAGTGTAGTCCTGTCTGTGGCCTTATCTCTTCATTAAGTCACACCTGTGTGCTGCAGAAGTTGAATTCCTTTTCCCAGCATGTCCTGCTGAGGCAGGATTATTTGGTGCTCAGGAAGCCTGAAGATCTGGGTTCTGCTTGTGATTTGCTAAAATGATATCTGCAGCAGAATTGCTGCATGTCTTTCCTTGTTTGAGGGCTTTGTTTGTCTATTAGCTTTTTGCAGATAAAGGATGAATAATGATTGTTTCTTGAAATGGGAGCTTTTGGGAAAAGGTGGTCTGTGGAGGATTAGAGGGGCATTCCACAAAGCTTGGTGTGAAATTGGTTTTGTAATGCATAGGGAAGTGGATCCTACCTCCATTTCCTAAAGTAGCCAAGGAGAGAGGTGCTCAGGTAGAAGGCTGTTCTATAGAAACACTGTGTAGAAACACAGCAGAGCTGTCTGTGCCTGCCAACTGCACACAGAGGGAGAGGGTATTAATATCTTTAATGCAGAATGTGTAAACCAACTGATGTGTTCTAAGAAGTGAATGGCATTTGTTTGAAACTTTGGAAGCCTGCCTTTTCCTTCGTATTGGTTGACACCACCTCTCCTTACGAAACCATGGTGTTGGTACAAATCCTCAGCTGAAAATGCCTTGACAAATGAGGGGATTTAGTGACACAGTAACTAGAACAGCCAGCAGTGAGCTGCTGCTGAGTGCCTCTTTTCTCCATGCAGGAGGGGATGTTTTCCATTGCTCTGTGACTCACTGCTAACTGGAACTGTGCTTCTTTGTTTCCTTCAAGGTGTTCTGAATGCCAGGATCCCCTCACTAACTGGTACTATGAGAAAGATGGGAAGCTGTACTGCCACAAAGACTACTGGGGGAAGTTTGGGGAATCTTGCCATGGCTGCTCTCTGCTGATGACTGGACCTGTGATGGTAAGGACTCTGCGATACCTGCCTCCAACTCCTTGTCCTTGGTTGGGAGTTATCCTCACTATGCAAACAACCAAATAAACTGAAAGTGATAGTTCTTGTGATACAGCTTTTGTATCAGACATCTATAATAAGGCTTATCAACATTCATTTTTAACAAGAGTGACTTAAAGGAGAGAGCATGAAGATCTGAAGCATGTGAACAAAGAGGAAGGTGTTGAAATGCACGAGAATGAGAAATAGGAGGATGAGTGATGGGATGCCAGTTTCTGTAGCACAGAGCACAGTGTTTGTGGGGTAGTTTTCCTCTGCATTGCAAAGTCAGACCTGTCAGCTCAGGATAAGCAGCAGTTCTGGCTTTGGGGAAGATTGCCACCTAGACTACAGTGCAAGTGGGTTTCAGGCCAGTGCTGAATTGAAATGGCGTTAGTCCTGCTTGGTTTAAAACACTGAACTATGCCTGCACAATATGGGGTTCCACTGCTTGCCCCAGCATTGCAAATATGTAACCTCTAAAGCTGTCAAGAATTAAATAAACCCATTATTTTTCAAAAGCCTCAATAAAAACGTTACTCAATAGTAGTACTGAAACAGTTTCTCATTGCCTGCTGAAGTCTTTGCAAAATATGGTCAATAAGGGAAATTATCATAAGGAAAATAGAACTTCAATGTAGAAAAATATCCTTCAGAAGTATTTCGTAGTTTCAGCTTACTGGGTTTTTTTATTTTTTATTTTTTTTTCCTCCCTGTCAGCTGTCGGGTAAAGTATCCTAATTTGTGCACTGCCTGTCTGCCAAAAAAAAAAAAGCCCTTTCAGCTTTATTAATTCAGGCGTAACATTAGTTATCATGCCAAGAGCAAGTGAACAGGAAGGTTTAATATCTTGTTTACTAGTCCACAGCAGACTATCAACTATTTTTGATAGCAGAGCAGCTGCCAAATGTAACAGAGGTTCCTGGACGCAGGCTTTGCTTTGCATGTTGACATGTTTGTTTAAGCGAAGTTTTGCAAACAAAGCAGCAGGGATGGGGTTCTGGAAGGGCAGAATGGGCTAAGGAAACTCTCCAGTAAAAGCTGCTCCTCAGCTCTGAGATCTGAATGACCAAATCAATGAGAGGAAGGCAGTAGCTGCAAACGCTGATGGATTTTGTTTTTGCTGAGCACTTCCCTTTTCTGTCTGTAGGTGGCTGGAGAATACAAGTATCACCCTGAGTGCTTTGCCTGTATGAGCTGCAAAGTGATCATTGAGGATGGGGACACTTATGCACTGGTGCAGCATTCCACTCTCTACTGGTGAGACAGAGTTGCATGCTTTGCCTATGGGAAATTGCATTGCTCCCTGCTCTATGTGTAAGCCACATTTAGCTGACTCCATGTGGTTCAGCTTAATGCTAGGCTGAAGGAATATCAGGAAGCTGCCTTTAATGGGAGGGAGAGTGGGGAGAAAGGAGTGGAACAAGCATCAAAACTGTAGTTTAGGGCCACTGCAATAACTCAGAAGTGTGAGTTTGGCAGTGAGGGGTAGGATGCTACTACAATGACTCTCTTCACTTCTTCCAGTGGAAAATGCCATAACCAGATTGTGCTGACACCGATGATAGAAAAACATTCCACTGAGTCTCTGCGCGAGCAGCTGCCTTATACATTGACACTCATCTCCATGCCAGCAGCTACTGATGGCAAGAGGGGCTTCTCCGTGACTGTTGAGGGCGGCTGCTCCAGTTATGCCACTGGCGTCCAAGTGAAGGAGTGAGTATGACAAGGCTGTGTGCAAAGTTCATGTCTGTGCAGAGGGAGCTGGTAAAACTTCTGCAGTACTGCTGTCCTGCCAGCTGCTTTAATTGCTGTGGAGGTCTGTCTTGGTGGAACGGGAACATTTAAGAACTGTAATGGAGTAGCAATTTTTGCCGTTGAACAGATGATAAGCTCTCCCCAAACCACCTCAAACCTAAGCACTGACTCTAATGGAAATTAGCATTGTTTTACTTCAAGGGAATATTAATAGAAAGGGAAGCATTAGAGGTCAAACAGTTTTGATGATTCTGGCCAAATTGACTTTTTCCTCACCACTGTAATACCTGTGTTTAGAGTTAACAGGATGCACATCAGCCCAGATGTCCGAAATGCCATCCACCCTGCAGATCGTATCCTGGAAATTAACGGAGCTCCCATTCGTACGTTACAGGTGGAGGAGGTGGGCAGAGTTCTGTTCTAAAGCCTCCTTCTCATCTCTCTTCCTAAAGCTGTTCTGTCTCTTGGCACTGTTCTCCCACCCTACATACAGTGTATGTGTTCACCCATGGTACTCGTGCTAGCAGTAAGAACAGACACAAAGACAAACTTTGCTGCTTACTGTAGCTGAAGAGGGAATTAGGAGGAAATGCAGTTAGGATGCAGTTCTGAATTTGTGGCATTCACTCATGGAGGGAGATGATAAGGAAAGCATAAAGCTGTGGCATGTTAGAGGATGGAGAGCTGTGAAGACTTAATGTGTATTACTAGTGAAGTCTGCTGTTCTAATCACCTTAGAGGCGTCTGGTAATAGACAGAGGTTCAGCTTATCCTAGGTATGAGGTTACCATTGAAAAAAATTATATATTTGGTGTCTGCATTTACAAGAAAATGCTTTTTACAGCTATCAGGTGATGCTGCGAGAGTGTAGTGAGACCACCTCTGCTTTCACTACGTGAAGATTTTACTGCTGGCATTGGGTAGAACATTAGGAACACAACAGCTTTAGCAATGTTTTTCAGCATTGTTCAGGGTGAAATCTTGTGTAGTTTTCAAACACTTCTCAAAAAAAAAAAAAAAAGTTGGTCTGTTATTTTTGACCAGAACAGAAGAGGCTTTGAATAGCATGAGAAACTTCTGTGTTGTTACCTTATCTTGTCTGGTAGACAACTGTGGTGTATGCAACTAAACCAAAACTGAACCCTGATTTCTGAAGGGCGTTCTGCTGTGTCTCCTCTGTCTGCTGCCATTCATAGTCCTGCTCTTTGCTACCATCCTTCCCTTTGGTTTGCTCGAAGGTGGAGGACTTGATTCGCAAGACAAGCCAGACGCTGCAGCTGCTGATAGAGCATGACCCTGTCTCACAGCGCTTAGACAGGCTTCAGTTGGACTCGCGGCTTCCCACCCACATAAAGTCCCCCATCTCTCCCCACTCCATC